GATTGTTGTTTCCAACCTTGCTTTTCTTTAGGTGAAAAACAACATCGACAGTAATAAGCACAGCTACTATAAGCTTTATTACACACCTACTATGTGCCTGGCACTCTCCCAAGCTCTATAAATACATTATCTCTAATCCTCATACAACCACTTCAGGACTGTTGTTATTATTTTGCAGACAAATACTATTTGATTTCACTTATAGGAGATACTTAGAATAGTCAAATTCATACAGTCAGAAGGTACATTGGTAGATGCCAGGGGTCAGGGGTGGGGGTTTGGGGAAGGGGAATGGGGATAGAGTTTCAGTTTAGGAAGATGAAAAATTCAGGGGATGGGTGATGGTGAGAGTTGGCCAACAATGCGAATGTACTTAGTGGCACTGAACTGTAGACTTAAATATGGTTAAAATAGTATGTTTTATATTATGTGACTTTTACCACAGTTAAAAAAAACATTAAATAAAAGGACTGGTATTATTGTCACCACTTTATTAATGAAGAAATTAAGCCTTAGAAAAGTTAAATAATAATACAAGGGGCAAATACTCCTATACTTGAGTACCTAGTATGAGCTAGACATTTTAAAAAATCTTACTTAATTACAAACACCCTACAAAGTAGGTATTATTATTATCATTCAAATTGTGAAGAAACTGAGCCTCAGAGAGATGAAAAAACCAAGCCATCCAAAATCACATAGTTAATAATAGGAAAAACTGCGAGTCAGACCAAAGCCTGCTCAACTCTTAATTCATCCACTCCCTTTCTGTCTGTCCATTTTCTGCCCTTTGAGGGAAGCTTCACATTGAGGGGCTTCCCAAGTGGCTCAGTGGTAAGGAACCAACCTGCCAATGCAGGAGATGTGGCTTTGGTCCCTGGGTTGGGAAGATCCCCTGGAAAAGGAAATGACAAGCCACTCCAGTATTCTTGCCTGGAAAATCCCATGGACAGAGGAGCCTGGCAGGCTACAGACCATGGGGTCACAAAAGAGTTAGACACAACTAAGCAACTAAACAATGACAACAACGACAAATCATATTTAGACCCTGAGTGGATGCTGCCCTGAGCAGGTCTGAATGAGAGCAGGGTGGCTAGTGGCAATGAGACTTGTTCAGTCCTGCTGGGCAGACCCTCGGAAGCTGGCCCTGCTCCTAGGGCTGACTGTGGAAGTACAAAAACACCTAAGTGGCACTTATGCTGTATAAGGAACTGTTCCAAGCATTTCAGATATAATAACTTTCTTAATCTTTGAGGTAACTTTGTGAAATAGGTATTGTTATTATTCCCACTTTATAGATGAAGAGACTAAGCCCCCAAAAGGAAAATTGCCCCAGGAGAGAATTATCTAAAAGTGTGAATACTAGGACACAGGAATCATTGCAATTCGTTTTAGAGGCTGCCTACCATTGTCACAAAGTTAGTAAGGGCTAGAATAGGGGTTTATACCCAGAAGTCTAACTCGAAAGACCACGCTCTTAACCTCAAAACCATATGGCTTTTTTGTTTAGCAAGTGGTGATTGAATCCCTAACGTGTGCATAGCCCTCCAAGGCACTGAGAGTGTAGAGGTAAAACTAATTCCTTGTCCAAGCTTATTTATTATTCAGTACCAGGATTTCCAATTAACTGGGCATCAGTTGAGTAGCAGGATTCTTTGTCAAAGAGATGGGGCACAGGTCCAGACTCCAGGTAGAGATGGCAGACTGGAAACTGTCACAGAGAAGTGGTATAATGCAGGTGGAGTGAGGAGAGATGAGAGATGAGAACTGCTGGCAGTGCAGTTGCTCAAAATCCTGCTTGGGCCTTCAGATCCCTGGTCTGGACAGGTGGCTTAATTCTAAACCCTACAGAACAAGATTTGGGGCCTGAGAAAGATTTGGGACTGGTGGAAAGAATCTCATCTGTCTTGTCGGCACTGAGGAGTTCAGGAAGTAGAGGTAAGAGCTGCTGCAGTGGTTCATAGGTACACACGCGCAGAGCTTTTGTGTAGATATAACAGACAGTGAGTATCTCTCTAATATTAGCACCTAAGACTTCTGTGTTAGATGTCTACTCACTCACCCTCACTCATGCACTCACTCATCTATCTCTTCATTCATTTTTTAATTCATTCATCTACTCACCCATTCTACACTACTTATTCATTACACCCATCTACTCATTCATTCTACACTACTCATCCATGAGCTGGATACAATTCTATTTGCCAGAACTCTTAGGGAGAAGTACTGTATGTGGTCAGAAGGAATAGTCTGATAAGCTGCTTGAAGTAAAGAGTAAGACACCCCCAAATCATGCTTAACAAACAGGAGATGGTGACGCAAATGCTCTTCAGGGATGGTGGATGTGTTAAATGCAGACTTTGTTTTGCTGAGTAATGTGCAAGTCTGGGTCAGAGCTGAATTGCACAGGACGTGAAGAAACTGGGCCCTGCCAGAAAAATAACTGACCTGTTTGCCATGTCTGTAAGTCACCCCTTAAATACTTGTTGAATCTATTTCTACTCCATCCCCACAGCTACCACTCTAGTTCAAATCCTTCCTGGGTCTCACCTGAGCCATTGCAAAGATCTCACCAACCAGCCTGCCTGCTTCCCATCTCTACTTTCTCCAATTCATTCTCCATATCACAGTCAGAGTGGTCTTTCTAAAGTTCAGATCAAATCGTGTTAATATCCTACCTCAAAATCTTTGATCCTAAAAGATCAAATTCAAATTCCATAGCATGGCATTCAAAGCTCTTTCTAGTGTCATTGCCTACTCATTTCCCACACTTCCTTAAGTTCTTCTGGAGTAGCCATGGGAAAAAACTCTTCCTTATGCCAAAATACCTTTCCTTCACTTCTCTGCTTGGAAAATTCGTATTTAGGAAAATCCCTGTTGTCTTCCCTCTGTTACCAAGTAACCACATCTTTAGGTGATGCTGCTGGACTTGGTAGAGACTCCATCCATGGGAGTGGTTATGCCATCTACCACATTTCCCATCCTCCTCCTGGCCATTTTATAGGATTGTGCTTTCTTGGGTGTGGGCGTGTGACTTGCTTTGGTCAGTGAATGAGAAAAATGGAAGAGCCAAATCATGACTCACACACTTTCTTTCCTTCTCATAGCTGCTCTGTCAGTCTTTACCCTGGAATGAGGCAGACAGAGAGCAGAGCACCCAGCCACCTCTTAATGGATATATAAAAATAGTGAAAGATGAAACTTTGTTATTGAAGCTGCTGAGATTTTGAGATTGCTTATAATTATTGAGTAACCCAGTCTATCCTAACTGGTGCACTATCTCTGGTTTGACATCTTTCATAACTACCCTAAATCACCATATTTCTACTTTATCTGAATTGTGTGACACATTTTCTTTATACCACTTATTTGATACTGATGACATTGCTAATTATGAGTTTGGTGGTATGTCTTTGCCACCTCTATACTTTTTCTGAGCCTTCCTGAGGGCAAGGATAATGCTTGTTCCATTTCTGTATCACACAAATTATGATTCATAGCCAAGGTGAGATACTGAAATAGGTGTAGGAGTCAGACAGACAGACTTGTTTTGAATCCCAATTCTTACATTTGATGGACAGTCTCTGTGAACCTCAGTTTTCTCAACTGTAAAGTGGGAGTAATAATATGTACCTTACAGGGTTTTTCTCAAGTTTGTGGATAATAGGTGTAACATATGTACTAATAATGGCATGTTATAATTCTTTTGTTCCCATTTTTTTGTTTTTAATATCATTATGGGTAGTGTTCAGTAAATGCCTGTGGATAAACCTTTCATTGACTGAGGTATAATGGTATATGCATCAGACTTGGAATCAAAAGTCCTAGATTTAAGACATAGCTTTTTTTTTTTTTTTTAACCAGTTTGTGTCCTTGGGAAAGTCACTCACCCTCTCTGCAGTTTTGCATTCTCAACTATAAAATGTAAATACTGATCCTTACCTCACAGTTTTTTTTAATAAAATTTAAATGAGGTAATATATGAAGAAATGTTTTCTTTGTGCTCCAGTATCACACATCTAAAACTATAATGATGCAGAGAAGATTGATTGGTCCCTGACATGAGGACTGTGTGGACATTGTGAAGTACCCCAGAGTATTCCATTAATGCTTTATTGTCTGATTTGACTTACCTTGTTTGTGTTTGTCTTTCCTACTAGACTGTAAGCTGCTTGAGATAAAGAATTTTCTTAGTCATATATATATATATTTAGTGAAAATGTTTGTTTCTCCTTGTATAAATAATACATGTTTAGCATTAGAGACAGTAAAAATACCTGAAGAAAATGAAAATCCTGATAATTCTTACCTTTCTTACAGAGATAGTCACTATTAACCTTCTGATGTGTTTCTTTTCAGTTTTCTTCTCTGCAAATATCGTTATGAAACTGACAGTACATTGCACATACAAGCATTGTTCCATCTTATATAAATAAACACATAACCATTCTAAAGTTGGATATATGTTAATGATACTTTTACACTGTTTAAATAGAGTTGTAACCAAAATTTTTGTGCATAAATATTAATGTTAGTCTGATTTTCTATTTTTGTAAAAAAGTTTTTAGAAGGAAAAATTTCCAGATCAAAGGGTACAAATATTTTTAATACTCTTGGGACTTCCAGATTGATTTCCAGAAAGACTGAACCAAGTTCCACTTCCACAAACAAGGTGTAAGGTTGTACATCTCACTACATCCTTGTCTGTAACAGAATTATAATTAAAAACAAAGAAAAATCTTTAATATAATAATTATCTATTTACAGTTCTTTTGTGAAATGTTCTTTCCTCCTGCTCATTTTTCTACTGGGATTTTAATTATTTTCTTATTAATTTCTATGATGTTTCAAAAACCATTTTATTATAGTCACCAAGTACAAGGTAAATAATAGATGCTCCTTAAATATACTTTGGATTATTAGTTAATTGTCCTGGGGACTTTTTAGAAACAAAAACAGATTTTCTATGAGGCTGACTCCTTCCTTTCCCCACCTAGGACACAGCTGGGCAGGAGCGGTACCGGACCATCACCACAGCCTATTACCGGGGAGCCATGGGCTTCATTCTGATGTATGACATCACCAATGAGGAATCTTTCAATGCTGTCCAAGACTGGTATGAGATTCATTCATTCATCCATCCATCAAATTGTTCATGAAACCCTAGCTTGTGCTAAGCCCTACGCTATGTGTTAGGGAAAACCAGATGAATAAGACATGGCTCCTGTCTTCACAAAGTTCACAGATGAGCAGAGAGTATAGATCAGTGAGCAAGCAATGACAATATCCTGTGACAGGTGCAGTGATGAGAGTGGTACCTGGGCTGTAGAAACCTAGCTTGGGGAGTTAGGGAATGTGTCCTGGAATTGCTGACATACTACGGTTTGAAGATGGACAAGAATTAGCCAGAGGGATAAATGGATGAGAATGTTGCAGAAAAAGAGTACAGATGTGCAAAGGCAAGAAGGTAGGTGAGAAGGTAGGAAGAGCAGAGGTCATGAAGGATTTTATGTGCTGGGGTAGGGACGTTGGATTTTATTTGTAGGTAAGGACATTTGAACCGGGAAACAACAGGTTCAGATTAGTGTTTTAGAAAAATTCATTCTGGATAGATTACTAAGTGAATCCACATATTGTTTCCCTATAAAGTTTATCCCTTGGCTGGGGGGTGGGGGTCAAGTTCATAACAGTTCAATATACAATAGAATCTGACACAATTCCCTAGAGGTATAGCCTCTGAGCAACTTATATCAGAGGCCCCTAGCACCCCCAGGCCACATCCCCATCTCTTGCATTACTGCCTGAACTAAATTCCCCTACCCCAATCCTGGAAAAACTGCCTTCCATCAAACTAGTCTCTGGTGCCAAAATGGGTGGGGACTGCTGACTTACTTCTTTCTCCCTGGAAAATTACTCACAAGGAGAAGGGAGCATGAAGAGAAGGAGAGGCGAAGAGGGAAGGCCAGGACCGGGTGTCCCTATTCAGTGGAGAGGATAAGAATGTGGAAGATGGAGAATCTGTGCCTGGTCCTTATCCACAGTCGGAGAGGCAGAGCAGTCTGGGCACAGTGCAGCAGTGCTGGCCAGTGCCAAGCTTATCTTCTGCTCTTTTTTGCCCAACAGCTACTCTTTGAAGACTTTGCTTCTGCCAAGGAACAGTTGCCATGACTATGTGAGGCACCACTGGTTCCTTGGAGCCTTGAGCTGGGAGTGACCTTTCAGGCTGCCTACCCCCACTTCCCAGTTCTGAGCAGCAGTCTAGGGTGCCATCCACATGCCTGTCACTCATGTGTTCTCCTTCTCAGCCTCTTGGTCATTCCCTTCTTCCTCCTTTATCCCTCTTTCCTTTTAACAACTCCTTTTCTCCACCTTCTTTTTTCTCCTTTCCTCCCTCTTTTTTCTCTTGCTCTCTCATTATACCTTTTTTTCCTCCTGTTTTTTTTTCCCTTTCTTATTCTCTCCCTTCCCTCCAGTCATGACTTTTCCCTCCTCCTCCCTTCTCCCCTCTCTCTATGTCCTCTCATCCTCACCTCCCACCATGAAGAGATTAGCTCTTTCTTTAAGTATCTCCACACTGCCCATTCCCTGCCAGCCTTGACCTCCTTCCCTTTCTCCATCAGTTCCTGTTCATCCTGCCTCAGGAACACAGTGACTTTAACACCTGGTGTTGATTCCTCCAAGAATAACCTAAGTTGCTAATCTAGGAGCTGAGAGTGGATGGAGGTGGGAGGAGGGAGGAAGATGACAGAGAGTGGCACAGGGAGTTGGCTCCAGGTCCCTGCCTTGAGGCTGAAGTCTGTCTTTTCCAAGCTCTGACCTTCAATTTTGCCTCTGGGAAACTTGGTCCCAACCTAGCACCCATCTGCCATCTAAACCTCAGTGCCCAGAGCAGAACCTGGCTCTATGTAGTTTCACCACAAATGGTGGTTGAGTGAATTCCATCCATTGAGGAAGTGACTTTTCACCCTTAAAGAGAAGATGGGAAGTGAAATCAGCTTTAGGAGCAGGGTTGGTAGTTGGTTCAGTCTGCAGTTAAGGTTGAGTTAGATTGAATGTCAGTATCAGGATAGGATCAGAGTTTATTTAGATCTACTTCAGGATTAACTATTTGCTGGCTCCTTCCTTTGTCAGACATTCACTGACTTCTCTATATGCTGGGCGGGGGGGCTGGCACCACAAAGATGGGGCTTTCCTGGTGGCTCAGTGGAAGAGAATCCGCCGGCGATTGCAGGAGACATGGGTTTGATCTCTGGCCTGGGAAGATCCCACATGCTGTGGAGCAACTAAGCTTGTGCCCCATAGCTACTGAACCTGTGCTCTAGAGCCCAGGAGCCGCAACTACTGAGTGCATGTGCTGCAACTCCTGAAGCCTGCGCTCCCTACAGCCTGTGCTCTGCAACAAGAGAAGCAATGGCAGTGAGAAGCCTGTGCAGGGGATTGAAGAGTAGCCCCCACTCGCTGAAACTAGAGACAAGCCGGCATGGCAACAAAGACCCAGTACAGCCAAGAATAAAAAATAAATACATAAATAAAATTATATATAAAAAAGAATAAACCTATCTCTGCCCTCAAGGAGAGACAGATAAATCCAGCCAAATGTAATAACAGATGCCACAGTAAAGGTGTAGGGAAACAAAAGGGGGGGGGTAACTGTTACTACCTGTGAGGTGTTGGGGGACTGAGTTAGACCTGCTTCATAAAAAATGTATGCTCAATATAAAGGTCTGGTTTTATTTCCTCTATTTAAAAGTTTATTTCTCATTTTAGAAATAATACATGCTCACTTTCAAAAACTTGTCGAGAAAAGGTTTTTTTACTGGCCACAATGCATGGCTTGTGGGATTGCAACCCTGTTGAAGGGGCTTCTGTGAGCTCCTCGGGGTCCTTTCTAGCCTAGGAGGGAGTCAGTAACACAGTCCTCTCCCTGTCTCTCTTTAGGGCTACTCAGATAAAGACCTACTCCTGGGACAATGCGCAGGTCATCCTGGTGGGGAACAAGTGTGATATGGAGGAGGAGAGGGTTGTTCCCACTGAGAAGGGCCGGCTCCTCGCAGAGCAGCTTGGTATGTACATGACACATGTGGGTGCATGTGTGCACTGGAGTGGGGCAAATGGAGGGAATAAGTGTGTGTTTGTATTTGGGACATTAAGGATGTTCTGTGATCCTGAATTATGTGCATATGTGCTCTGTGTGTGTTGTTTCATATTTAGGGCATATACATGTGGGCTTCACGATAATGAATTCTAGGTAATGCATTATTTATGATATATATATATATTTTGTTACACTGGATGTATCAATAAAATTTAAATATATGAAATCTTTTTTTAAAACCAGTTCATTCCACAAAGGATTTGAGGTATCTTATAACATTGTCATAGTATATCAACAAAAAATGAGACAATTGGAGCAAAGGGAAAAAAGGCAAGGGTAGGAGAACATAAGAGAAGGCCAGGGGTGAGATAACTATATTTTGTAAGTTTTGGGGCATGTGCAAGAGCTGGACTGAAATAGTCACTTTGAGCTTCCTAGCAACCATTGCAAAGAGGGAAACATAATCAGTTACATGGTTCAGAGATGGTCCTTAAGATAGAAACAAACCCATTATTCCAGAGAAGCACTGCTCTCCACCGACAACTGTAGACTGAGTGTGTGTATGCTCAGTTGTATCTGACTCTTTGTGACCCCACGGACTGTAGCCTGCCAGGCTCCTCTGTCCATGGAATTTTCCAGGCAAGAATACTGGAGTGGGTGGCTATTTCCTTCTCCAGGGGATCTTCCCAACCCAAGGACTGAACCTGCGTCTCTTGCGTCTCTTGCATTGGCAGGCAAATTCTTTACCACTGAGCCACTTGGGAAGCCCGGCAACTGTAGAACAGACTCTATATGCTGAGTGTGATGATGATCTTAATATCAAACATCCTTTATAGCAACTACAACACTGAATATCGTAGGCTGTGTCTTACAATTTCTGTCAGTGTAAACTGATGTTTTGTCACCAAAATACAATTCACAGTGAAAGTGATTGTGTGAAGTCATGAGACAATGTAGATTAAACATGCTGCTTGCTCAGTGATGCTCTTTTTCCAAGGTTAATGCACCTTGATCCTTGTGCTCCATTGAGACCCAGGTGTCTCACTTGTGTCTTAGTGGCCACACAGCAGGACACCTCCCTACACCTGCTTAAAAGAGAAGCTTTTCTTTTCTTTTTCCTATTGGGGTTTAATATAGGATCACCTTAGATAAGTCTTCTTTTAGAAGAATGCGTGTACTGCTTAGCTTTTAGCCAGTATTTCTCACAATCTCAGTGCTGTAAGTATTAAGGAGAAGGGAGTTTAAAGTTATATTCTCTGCCAGTTTCTGAAGTTCAGATATTTGGGCTGGTAGGTGGGTAAATTGTGTAATATATAAGTGTGAATTTGTGTTGTATATATTTGTATTATGTATATCACGAGGACATGTATAGCGGAGTGTCCTATACTTCTTTCTTCCCTCTCCTATTCTCCAGTGTGGCCTGGAATAGAAATTAGCACAATGAAGGTGCTTAATAAATAGGGAGGGTGGGCCATTTGGCTCTTGATGGTTCTTACCCCATCACAGGTGTCCTCAGGGCCCATAGAATGTGTCTATACCCATTCCCGTGGTTCACAGGATAGTAAGCATATGGCCAAGCCCACACATGAGTGACCTCTGGCTATCTTATGCCTTCAGCCTGCTGTCCCCAAGATGCCCTGCACTTTCCCTGGACCAACAATACCCCTTCTGTTTGAAAGGCTCTTTTTAACCCCCTTCTCCCACTCACCCCCACTCAGCTTTCAAAACACACCTCCCCAGCTCTTTTCTTGGTTCCCCCACTTAGACAGAGTACCCTATGCATGCAACAGTCACAGTGCCCATCTCCCTTGTGTGCGCTTGTTTCCTTATCTGTCTCCAGAAAGCTTCATGAGGACAGGAAATGAGTCTTGTTTTCTTTATACCCATAGTGCCTGGCATATGTTCTGGCAGTGAGTAAACACTGTAAAAATATATTTTGATTAAAAGTTTATGCAGTCAAGTATTTGGCTACTTCATTTTACTTCATTCTAATTATGACTTCCTAAGCTCCTACTCCATGCCAAGTACTGTACTGCAAAATAGGCTATGTTCCCTGGTCTGAGACAGAACCTGTGATAAGCCAGGTGATCAGTGCTGTGATAGAAGGATGCACCAGGGGCTGTGGACACAGAGGAGGCACCTGTTCAGTTTGGGTCAGAGAATATGAAGCCCATGCTGAGTTTTTTTTTTTAATTAACTTTGATTTGAGTACAGTTTGCTTTACAATGTTGTGCTGTTTTCTACTGCACAGCAAAATGAATCTGCCATACATACATACACATATCATCTCCTCCCTTTTGAATTTCCTTCCCATTCAGGTTGCCACAGTACATTACAAGGGAGTTCCTTGTGATATACAGTATGTCCTCATTAGTTATCCATTTTATGTGTCATATCAAGAGATAACTCATTGAAAAAGACCCTGATGCTGTGAAATATTGAAGTCAAAAGGAGAAGAGGGCAGCAGATGGTTAGATGAATTTGAGCAAACTCCGGGAGCTAGTGAAGGACAGGGAAGCCTGGCATGGCGCAGTCCTTGAGGTCAAAAAGAGTCAGACATGACTTAGCAACTGAACAACAACAATCAATAGTGTGTATGTGTCAATCCTAATCTCCCAATTCTTCCCACCATCTTCCCTTCACCCTTGGTATCCATGCATTTGTTCTCTACTTCTATGTCTCTATTTCTGCTTTGAAAAATCTTTAAAACATTTTTAAAATTTATTTTTGGCTGCACTGGGTCTTTGTTGCTATGCTTGGGCTTTCTCGAGTTGCAGTGCTGAGATTCTCATTGTGATGGCTTCTCTTGCTGCCAAGCATGGGCTCTAGGGTGCTTGGGCTCAGTAGTCATGGTGCACAGGCTTAGTTGCCCTGAAGCATGTGGAATATTCCTGGAGCACAGATCGAATCCCTGTCCCCTGCATTGGCAAGTGGATTCTTAACCATTGGACCACCAGGGAGTCCCTTATTTGCAAGGAAAACAGAGCTGGAGGGGTCAGGCTCCCTGACTCCACATTAGGTCTTGGAGATAAGTAGGAGCAGTCAAGTGAGGAAGAAAGGCAAGGACATTCCAGGCAGGGGGAATAACACTGGCAAAAGCAAGGAACAGTCCTGTGTATTTAGGGAACCATAAATCATTGGAGATACCAAGGGAACATTTCATGCAAAGATGGGCTCGATAAAGGACAGAAATGGTATGGACCTAACAGAAGCAGAAGATATTAAGAAGAGGTGGCAAGAATACACAGAAGAACTGTACAAAAAAGATCTTCACGACCCAGATAATCATGATGGTGTGATGAGCCAGACATCCTGGAATGTGAAGTCAAGTGGGCCTTAGGAAGCATCACTACGAACAAAGCTTGTGCAGATGATAGAATTCCAGTTGAGCTATTTCAAATCCTGAAAGATGATGCTGTGAAAGTGCTGCACTCAATATGCCAGCAAATTTGGAAAACTCAGCAGTGGCCACAGGACTGGAAAAGGTCAGTTTTCATTCCAATCCTAAAGAAAGGCAATGCCAAAGAATGCTCAAACTACTGCACAATTGCACTCATCTCACACGCTAGTAAAGTAATGCTCAAAATTCTCCAAGCCAGGCTTCAGCAATACATGAACCGTGAACTTCCAGATGTTAAGCTGGTTTTAGGAAAGGCAGAGGAACAAGAGATCAAATTGCCAACATCTGCTGGATCATCGAAAAAGCAAGAGAGTTCCAGAAAAACATCTGCTTTATTGACTATGCCAAAGCCTTTGACTGTGTGGATCACAACAAACTGTGGAAAATTCTGAAAGAGATGGGAGGATCAGACCACCTGACCTGCCTCCTGAGAAATCTGTATGCAGGTCAGGAAGCAACAGTTAGACCTGGACATGGAACAACAGACTGGTTCCAAATAGGAAAAGGAGTACGTCAAGGCTGTATGTTGTCACCCTGCTTATTTAACTTCTATGCAGAGTACATCATGAGAAACGATGGGCTGGAGGAAGCACAAGCTGGAATCAAGATTGCCGGGAGAAATATCAATAACCTCAGATATGCAGATGACACCACCCTTATGGCAGAAAGTGAAGAGGAACTAAAAAGCCTCTTGATGAAAGTGAAAGAGAAGAGTGAAAAAGTTGGCTTAAAGTGAAAAAGAGAGCTTTAAGTTGGCTTAAAGCTCAACATTCAGAAAACTAAGATCATGGCATCTGGTCCCATCACTTCATGGGAAATAGATGGGGAGACAGTGGAAACAATGTCAGACTTTATTTTTGGGGGCTCCAAAATCACTGCAGATGGTGATTCCAGCCATGAAATTAAAAGACGCTTATTCCTTGGAAGGAAAGTTGTGACCAACCTAGATAGCATATTAAAAAGCAGAGACGTTACTTTGCCAACAAAGGTCCGTCTAGTCAAGGCTGTGGTTTTCCCAGTGGTCATGTATGGATTTGAGAGTTGGACTGTGAAGAAGGCTGAGCGCCGAAGAATGGATGCTTTTGAACTGTGGTGTTGGAGAAGACTCTTGAGAGTCCCTTGGACTGCAAGGAGATCCAACCAGTCCATCCTAAAGGAGTTCAGTCCTGGGTATTCACTAGAAGGACTGATGCTGAAGCTGAAACTCCAATACTTTGGCCACCTCATGCGAAGAGTTGACTCGTTGGAAAAGACCCTGATGCTGGGAGGGATTGGGGGCAGGAGGAGAAGGGGACGACAGAGGATGAGATGGCTGGATGGCATCACCAACTCGATGGACATGAGTTTGGGTAAACTCTGGAAGTTGGTGATGGACCAGGAGGCCTGGCGTGCTGAGATTCATGGGGTCTCAAAGAGTTGGACGCAACTGAGCGACTGAACTGAGCTGACTGAAATCATTGGATTCTGTGAGTCTAGAGTAGCGACGTAGCGGCAGCAGCAGCAGAGTAGCACTTCCCTAATTAAGAGATTCATGTCACTGGGTGTTCATGATGATTTTATGTATGTAT